CAGTCACCACGGTCCCCTACTGTTTCCATTCCTTTGCCTATCCGATACATAATCATAATCATAATGTTGAACAAGTCACTCACTTCCTCGATTTAGGTGTCCTTTATGGACTCTAAGTTAGATTTTTGAAATTATATCAAATCTTGTGCTAAGGCAAAAGGCGTATTAGCTTTCTTTAATCGATTAGCTAAGGTGTTCAATGACCCATACATTACCATACTACTATTTACTTCTCTTCTTACGCAGTTCCTTATGGAATATGGCTCAGTTGAATGGAATCCGCACTATTAATTATATAGTGATAAATAGGAATCTGAACAAAAGTAATTGCTGCTATTCACTATAAGATATTTGAGCTGAGATGTGTATAGGAATCTCCGTTCTTAAAAAATGCGTTTACTGTTCATTATTTTGCAGACACTCCATTGTCGTAGAATGGCGAGTGATTAGCGAGCTTAGACTTACCATCCCTTTGAGGTCACTTAGACTGATAAGCCAATCTGTAGCTGTTTACAATATGAGGCAAGTCTGACTCCCATCCTCCGCGATCGATCTTGGGTTGAGGGCATCACGGACTGTAACTGACTTTCGGTTCCCGGCCTGTTAGATTTTTCGATTATCCTTAGGTCGGTTGGGCGTGAAGCGCTGGATTCGTCTCTTTTCATATAATATGTTCTAGCATTGTTCCATTCTGCTTATTAAGTTTTCAAAGCAAAAGGTGTAAAACCAGCTGGCATTGCTCCAGGACCTTAAGAATCAACTGTTAATGTTGCTTAAATGGGAATTGAATTTTCGAAATTTACAATGTTTAACAAAGAGTGAAACTACATATCCGAAGACTAATACGAGGTAGGCAGTCTAATTTCTCTACACTGTAGTTCGGCATTCGTCATCGTATTGCCGAAAACTCATTGTTACCATAGTAGCGGTACATAGAGGGTTTGAGATGCTGTTAGAAAGATCCTTTATATCTATGTGCAAGTCGAATAGAAAACCATTCGGTTGTCTGCTGTGATTGCAAATTTTCGAAATCGTTGATTCGAGCCGATGTTAGGATCTCGGAACTTACGCATATTCCGAACGTGGATACATGTGGCCCGTCAGTATTAACATAATCGATATGGTCGTAAATTTTTCGATTTGCATACAGCCAGGTAGTGTGTTGAATTTTCTCGTACGGCAAACTGACACTACAAACAACCATATTTTAGTCCCCAGAGAAGTTGATCAGCGTCAACTCATTTGGGTATGAGCCTACGTGGAGGCCTCAGATATCTTTTTTGCCTACCCTGGCGCACTTCACACAACTTGCACGGCGTTGGTGTCAGCACTTAATGTTTCGAGGGTTAAAGCAGCTTCGCAGAGTCAGTCCAATGCAAAGGGCCGGACATTCCAGTTGCACGCTTTTAAATCCTGATCCTTAAAACATTTGCGGTGGTCGTCAACAATTGGGCGATCTCTCATCTGAGGGGTTTTTGCACTTTTCATTGAAGCTCGCTTCCAACTAGATGTCAGTTGGTTAACCAGATGATACTTGGACTGGCTTCAACCATATGCAGAGAATCTTTTCTAGCCATTCCCAGGTGAATGGTCATTAAAAACTTTCCATACTCGCGTGAACTTCAACAAATGATTCAATCCTTCTACAGGTGCTGATGGTCTTTCGCTTTATTTTAATTTTATTTGAATGTTTCAGCGTTAATCTTCCCTTCCTCAGCAGCTTGTAGATTAATTTTATTAATTTTGATCATACCTACAACTGTTTAAAATGTTTCTAGGGGTTTTTGAACAACTGTCATAAATTAAAGTTTCAACTGCGACAGCGAATGCGCAGTGAAAATTTATTACACAACTATATAATTTGGAAATAATTTTTAAATCCCCACACAGGAAATTAACAATGAAATTATTTGAGTTCTTTTTCCTGGAAATATTGGTTAACCACATGATTCAAACCCGTTAAACACACGTACACACAACGTTACAAACTTGCGAAAGTGTTGAGCGATGACAATACAATTAAAAATGGATTTTCACACCTTTTCATTGTAACATTCAGTAAAATGAGGTTGAGAAAAAACTATAAACTTTATGCGCCGGAACGAATTTTTTTTTCAATTTCTATGCTAATTAAAATGTAAAACAAACTGAATACGAGTACACCATGGAAGTGCAGTCAGGCAAGTTATTTACATAACAAAGATTTATTTATATATGTATGTATGTACAAAAAAGGATATGTTGATGTACACATGTACTCGTACATACATACGTACATATGTTTGCATAAATCTGCGTGTGTTAATAGCATAAAATAAAGTCACGTACGAATAAATATTCGTAGCAAAAATAAGGCAACAAACACAATAACAACTACTGCATGTTGACTTTGATACAAATATACAAAAAAAAAAACATATGCACGTTTGCAAAAACAAATATTATGAAAATCATGGAAATATGTCAGTGTCAGAGAATTTGTGTTAGAAAAATCTGTTTTAAATTCAATAAAATTAATACAAACAAAAAAATGTCCCGTCACATCACCCCCTCTGGCGAGTGTGAAAACCCAAACAAAGCTCTTATAGAAATTATATGTGTATGTATGTACAAATGAGTGTACAAACAACAACAACCTGTAACAGAGGTTAACCATATCAATTGCCAGTTGACTGAATATTACAACCCTAAATCCGTGGCGGGAATGTAATAAACATTTTTTTGTGACGTTGAATACTTTATATTGCATTTAGACGTGTTAACAAAATAGAACATTGAATAAGAATTATGAGTGTCTACTTTGTTTTTTTCCATTCCGCTTTCAGTGATTGATCTTTTTGATGTGCAATTTTTTATTTTTACTTACATATAAAACACACGCTTCAGCGACGCATCGAAATTATTACGATTTACCATGAAAATGGGGACAAACCTGGTAGAGACGGTTCGTAGAACTAATACGGGATTCTGTTATCGTGAAGCAGCTTATCGGACCACAATACAGAAATTGGCGGAAAAAATGGAGCTGTTGGGACAAGTCGCTCAACAACAATGAGAATATATGTAGCTGCTCAAAGTGTTGAAGAAAACCCAGGTTTTTTCCACTACTCGTTGTTTTTTGAATTGGGCATTTCTCACAAACGTCATCATACCGTATTTTGCATAAAGACTCCGGTCTTAAGGCTCATAAGGTGCTGTTGACACAAGAACTCAATCCGGCCGATCATCAACAACGTCGTGTCTCTCCTGATTGCGTCCTTGAAATGCATGAAATTTAACCGGAATTTTATGGAAAAATCTTCTTGACTAATGAAGCCCATTCTCACCTCGATGGCTACGCCAAAGAGCAAAACTGTCACATCTGGGGCTGGGAAAACCCAACCTCAACGTGTAACTTTTTGGTGCGGTTTATGGTCCGACAAGGACGAACCATTCTCGAAACTGTGGCTGCAGAAACAGTTACGGTGGACTGCGCTTTCGAGAGATGAATAATGATTTTTTGTGTCTGGAATTAAATCTGATCAACGTTTATTTTCCACAAGATTGCGCTACGTATCTCACAAGCTACGAAACCATCGCTTTTTAACAAGAACATTTTCCAGACCGTGTTGTCTCTTGAAAAGGTGATCGCAATTGGCCACCAAAATTTTTACCATTTAACAGCTTACGACTTCGTCCTTTGGCACCACGTGAATGATAAAGTCTACGCCAATATGCCAATGAGGGCATGCGGTGGTGAAAAAATTCACAAAAAGGATACGGTCCTGTAAAGCTCATCGCTAACACTAATTAGGTTTGTTTATTGAACTCTTCTAGTTTACGCAAGGTTACTCTATCTTACAAAATTGTGTTTCATGACACTTTTTTTGAACTTACTTGCACTAATCTTTGTCTCATGAGTCTGTTCTAAGCAGAAAAAGAACAAATTAGAGCATGATTTTTTGCTCTGACTTTTTTGTAGAGTAACATGGGGCAAGCAAAGAATAGCAAAGAAACGTTGAGTAAATAAAAATGAAAAGACTACAACTGGACTACTCTCATTAGGCCATTTTATATAAATATTGGACCTCCGGCTAGATACATTAAAACGATTTCCAATATCTCGAATTGAGCAGGCTTCATGCCCCGCAAACAAAGAAATAACGTTAAATGCATTTTGGCTCTATACACTTTAATTTCATCCAGATTTTGGAGTTCTTCTTGAACTTTGAAATTTATTACTAAGCCTTTCAAATACGTCTCTCCTCACACGAAAATGCATCATATACTCTTCATCTTCTTCTTTGAAGTAAGTTTTGATACAATTCATTTTATTCATCAAAGTGGCAAGTACAATCAAATCATCGTCCTCACTAGCTTCGGATCTTTCAATTTTTGATGAGTCGGAAGAGTCTAGATATTATTCCGTGATTTTGGTGATAATATAATTATCCATTTTATATTTTGCAAAAATTGTATTTGTACACAAATCCATATATCTAAAACATTTGATATTTGTCAAATGAAAGTTTAAACATTCAACTGTTCTGAGAATTTCTATCTAGAAAGTGTTTCATAAAACTTCTGCTCCGAGTTGCTCTAACTTGCTCTTCAGTTTTTTGACAGCTGCTCTATTCTACTCATACTTACTCTGCTCTATCAGACCTAAAGCCTCACTGATAAGGTCAATGAACAAACCTATTATAAAATGGCTGCGTGCTGTGATATTAACAGCACACTTTAATTTTAACGTTTAACATTACCTGTTAACGATTTAACATTTCATGTTAACGACTCAACATTTCATGGTAACGATTTAACAGCTTTTCGTTTCCGGTAAAAACGAAATAAAATAAATTTTGATAACTGCTTTAACTATAACGTTTCTAAATATTTCTATCGATTGAAATTTATATGATGAGTTTAAAGTATTTTTAGTTTATGTATAAAATCTTCAATTTACTCCTACACAGTTCTGCATAATATTGACCAAACTTTACAATTTTAAATTTTTTTTTTAGGTAATGAAAAAGGGTTTTGACTTTGCAAATCGCAAAAGAAACAAATGCAGCTTGTTTAAGCGCATAGTTTTTCTTGGAAATATCACAAAATATACATACAAAAGAGAAGGTGGGACAACTTCATTAAAAAGGTATAACATTTTATTCATTGTTTTTGGTTTTGTAATGTTGCAGGTGAAAGGGCAGAGTAAAAAGGCCTTCGCAAAGTGAGCTTAATTACTTAAAGCTTATGCTAACGGATTTGTAAATATACCTTTTGTTGTTTTGTTTTCCTAAACACCTGCTGTTTTGTTGTTTTTAAAGGTGATACCTTATTTGATTACCTTAAAATACAATAGCAAACTTTATATGTATGCGACTATTTCAGTAAACGCCTATTATTCATATTTATAGAAAAGTTTTTATTTTATATGAGCTTAGGTGAGTTTAGGTGAGAAAATAAATGACCCGAGGTTGGTTATTGAATTTTCATCAAAACATAATGATATACTGTATCCACAATATTCATGTATATGTAAAACGTTGTACTGTATATACTCGTTTGAATGAATGTTCCAAACAAAGCGATTGCTCTTTTGTTTTGGAAATTCTTTGGGTATTACCTTTGTGTGTGTGTGTTCAAATTGTGCATATTTAATGAGTGTTTACACAAAGGGAAAGTATTTATTAATAGACTAACATAAGAAAGGTTTACACTAATTTAGTTAGACAAATTTACAAACTAATTAAAATTATTCTCTCAAATTTCGTTAATAGGGAGTGTATTGAAAAGTTGAGCTACTTTTCAATCAACAAAAAGTGCTATTGAGCAAAAGTTTTTAAACTCTTTCAGAATTTTTGGATTTTTTCACCTTTCATATAAAAAAACGCCTCCGAACGGCTCATGGATCTTTATATGTAAGCGTTGTCTTCCGCAGTCGAGGCGCAACGAAGTTAGAAAATTTAACATTATTTCTTTTTTTTATATAATTTTGGATTCCTTCCTTCCCCATAGTAGTGTGCACTGATAACCACTCGGATATTTCGGCTTTTTTTGTTACCTATACATAAAACCCTATCATACGTGCTATTTTTTGGCGCTTAGGATCAACCAGCAGACTTCGGTTTACCTTATTGAAATCAACCCACCTTCAGCCTGATTGCTTGCCTTCACTAAAACTGAACGCATTTTTAACATTTAAAGAATACTAGCTGATACAGTCAAAGAAGTGAGAAGTAGTCGACAAACTGCATCTTAATCGCAGTATTGATGAATTAAATCAATGAAATTTATCAAATCATATGGTAGGTAAGCTCGTTTGGAGGATGGGGCTGTGGGCAGAAGTTTACTCTGTCGTATAAGTTTTGCGGGGATACCAAATATACATAGCGTCGTATAAGCAGCTCCTTTTCGTGCTCTCGACAGCCGCAGTAAAATCGACGAAAAGGTGGTGTGTTGACACAAATCCTCTTTTCATGGGTATTTTCCAAGATTTGGCGCATGGTGAACTTATCAGGCCTAAAGCCTCACTGCTAAGGTCCAATCAGTTTGTTGACGGTGCGCTTTAGTCCTTCACACAATACGCTAGATAAGGATATTAAGGAGGCTTACACCACGGTAATTTGCGTAGGCTGTGTAATCGCCCTTTTGTGTATTAGGTAGAGCACACTTAGGTACCGACCATATTTTGCAAAGAAGCGATGCTTGCACTATGTCAGCTCTTCACCACCAAGTACGAATAGCTCAGCCGGTGGGCCGCCAGCCGCAGCCGTTTTGTTGTTCCTTAACCAGGCAAGAGCTATTCGACTGCTTTGACATGGTCATATAGTAGAGCGTCTGTCCGGCTGATTTAATTTTTACTGCCATTCATCAGACTGGAGTTGTGTTCCTTCCATAAATTTAGTATACTATGGCAATCCGACACTATATCACCCCGGTTGGTCCTACAAGAGTCTACTCCGGTATTGAAACCATCCGTAGGTCGTCGTATTTTTACGTAGTTTTTTCGAGCATTAGCTTTGTCGGCCAGTATCTCAAGCTCATCGTTCTCACGCATTTCAGCATATTTCTTGTTTTTCCTGCAAATGCGTCTTGCTTCCCACTTAAGTTCTCGGTATCTTACCTACTCCGCACATGTTGTGGTCGATTGCAAGGTTGCCGGTTTCTCTCTACTGCAGTTCGAAATTTCTCATGGTACCCGCTGTTTTTGCGAGCTTTCCGAAAACCAATTGTTTCCGTAGTATGTACTGCCGCCGCGCGTTTGAGGTACTGTTGCACAGTTTCCCTATATTCGAAAATCGTTCGGCAGTCTATTTAATCGCAGTTTATCGACGTCAAACCTTCCTTGTGTGTGCACTTTTTTGATGCACAGTTGCATCTTCGCAGCGAAAATAGTGTGATCCGAGTCGATATTAGGACCTACGCACGTCAAGAGCTCTGGAGACATGTCTTTCGTCTATCACAACATGGTCGATTCGGTTGTGGGTTTTTCGATCTGGAGACAGCCGAGTAACATGGTGAATTTTCCTGTGCTGGAATTTGACCCTTCGAACCCTGGCGTAGTTGATCAGCCTCAACCCATTTGGAGTTATTTCATCGTGAAGGCTGAATTTTCCGGAAGTTGGGCCGAAGATAACTTCTTTGCCGTAACGTTGAAGTCGCCAACGCAATTTTGACATCTTGGAGGGGGTAGCGCTCATAAGTATGTTCGAGACATCGTACTTCTATATCAGCAACAACACCCCGAACATTCTCTGTCAAAGAGTCAATCGTCTCGGGCTTATCTGCGTAGACAAGTGACTTTACATGACCCCATAAAAAGTACTTCAGTGATGTCAAAATGCACGATCTCAGAGGCCACGCGAAAAACTCACGTCGTATAGCCGTTTTGTTGGAACCAAAGTTCGTCTAGACCCACACGCAAGAGTTCAGGCACGAAAAAGTCAATAAATATGGATCTATATAGACTGCTTCCCACTGCCCATTGATCATACTCGTATGTAAGCAGTTACATTTTTAAAGATCTTCACTCCAAAAGCGAGAATTTTGCCAATTTAAGTATTCATTCAAACAAAAGTGAGCTTTGTTGCCGAACAAAATGTTTTTGTGAATCTCGGGATCGGTGCACACTTACCGAACGGCATTCTTTATAGTGATTTAGCTTCAAATCTTGCACAAGTTGGATTTTGTAAGTTTTATTTATTATGAAATGTGGTTCACCACCACTACTGCGTATGAAAAAAAGTAACAGCGGTTAAAGGACCTACCCTGAAAAAGTTTTTGCCGCATTGAAAACCACACCTATAAATATTTAACTTTTTTGATTTTTCCCAATTTCACTTAATGGTGCTCGGCCAGGAGGAGCGAAATACATGATCTTGCTCTAGATAAAGAGAATTTTTTAGTACCGAAATAATCAGTTTTTGATATTTGAACGATTTTCCTCACTCTCTCGATTCTGACTCAGCGGTCTTCTGTAGATAGATAGCAAATCAAACAACTTTTTTTAACTTTGTGTACGTCAGCGTAAACCTTTTGGTGAAAGGAAAAGAATTGAGCACATTTTTTCCAGCAATGCCTCGCATTTCTTTCGCAGTTTTACTGAATAAGCTCCTCAATAAGCTCCTCTGCAACAGCTTGTACAAGGAGCTTTATTTAATTTATTTATTTGCGCAGAGAAAATGTGTAAACATGTTTTTATTTAGTACAATATAGTAGTGCATATTGAAAAATAAGAATTAATAATTCAATAATTATTTTACGAAACTTTATGAAAAACTACATTGAATATTGCTTTGAAATATGAAAGCTTACAGCGTATCAGCTTTCGCCAAAAATTTTCGTATATAAAAATAATTCCAAATCCCATGTCCAAGCAAGACTATACGAGTAGCACACACACACTGGAAGGCTCAATTTTTAAAATTTAAAATATTCAGCAGAAAGCAATAAATTTTACTTAAAAACTTTCACAGAAATATCAACAAAAAAAGAAAAGGAAACGCAAGTAAACATATTAGTATATAAAATTCCCACATATTCATTCCTCAAAGTGGTAATTTTGCATCAGAAAGATAGACACCAGCAAAGATAAAATTCGCTACATTTTACAATTTTTCTTCGATTAAGGCGAAAAAACTGCCAAAACGGCTGAAGAAATTAATTAAGGCCCGATACTGCAAACGAACGTGTAGCACAAAAGTGCTAGGTTCTGTTCCGGTAATTGCGATAAAGTCATGAATAAAGTGGAAACAGACCGTCACGTGAGCACTTGTTCAATTGCTGAGGAACTAAAGATAAGTCAGAAAACCGTTTGAAACCATTTGCATAACCTTGGATTAAAAAAGAAGCTCGATGTTCGGGTGCAACACGAATTAACGCACAACATGACGGACCGAATTTCCAGCTGCGAATCGCTGCTGAATCGCAACAAAATCGACTTGTTTCAGAAGCGGATTGTGTCTGGCGATGAAAAATGGGTCACTTTCGTCAACATCGAGCGCAAAATGTTGTGGTCAAAGCTCGGGGAAGCGGCCCAGACAGTGGTCAAGACCGGATTGACGGCCATTAAGGTTTCACTGTGTGTTTGGTGGGATTGGTTCTTGGAGATATGTTGAAAATTTCGATTTTTCCATTCAAAGGCAAATTGAGATCACATGAAGATTGCATACAAAAAATGCATAAAATTTACTAGCTCTCACAATTTTGAAAAGTAAAAAATTAGATAATTAATAAACATACTAAATAGTTCAGTAACATACTCGCGTTTCAAATGAGTTTAGGGAAAACAAGAACACCAATATTTTATGTATATTTCGACTTTAGTAAAGCGTTCGATAGAGTAAATCATCAATTTGATACAGTCCCTAATTCACAAATTGAGTGATATTATTTTTGTGACCATAGTATCAATTGAAATTCAGTATCGAGAGTATCAAGTAATTCGCCTGAAAAATGGGGCGAAAAATGAATTCCAGCGATCAGCTGATAGCGATCTTTGCTGGAGATGCGCACAAGCTCTCAACAAAAATTAAATAGTTCTTGATTACATTCGATAAATTTTCTTAAAGAGTTTTCATAACCGTAATTATTTATTCATTTAAATAAACAAAAACTTCTTATTATAATATACATTATTTTTGAAGGTATTAAATTGGCGTTTTACTTGAATCATTTGTTTAAAAAAAGTTTACAAATTTAAATCTATATAAATCGTTTACCATGTCGTGTCACCTTTATGTACGAACGTAAACATTCCAATTTTTGCAGCTACATATATGAGTATGTAATTTGGTATTTATTTTATTTATGTACATTAATCATTATTTCCTAAATTTTTTAGATATTCATCGAGCACAAAGAACCACCAAGGAGCAAATCGAATACCCCCAAAAGACGAAGAGGCTGGTTTTCGGGATGAAATAACTTGCTTCATGTGCTCAACGAAACAGAACATTGAATGGTATATTACAATAGATTAAAAAATATAATATCTTTTGTTTATAAATCAGGTGTACAACTTTGCTTCCGCCGTTTTTTTCGAAAATTAAAAGCTTTGTTGCGAAAAAATGCTTACAGGTATTGTCCTTCGCAAGCGACAACTTTCTCCCATCTTAACGGCGATTTTCGGATCCCGGCTAGAAAAAAGGAGCCCTCTTTTGACGCTACCCATGAAACAATCCATTTTTCCAACTCTTCGCAATATTGAAAATGTTGATCTGCCAGGCCGTGTGCCATCGAACGGAATAGGTGGAAGTCAAAAGTGGCGACATCTAGGGACTACGGCGGGAGGGGCAAGACTTCCTGTTTCAGCGTTTCCAGGTACTTTTTGACCACTTTTGCGACGTGAGGCCGAGCATTGGAGTGTTGGAGGATGACTTTGTCATGTCGCTCTTGATATAGTGGCCGCTTTTCTGTTAGCGCACGACTAAGTCGCATCAGTTGCGTTCGGTAGCGATCTCTACTAGCGATGGTTTCATCCGGTTTTAAGAGCTCGTAGTAAATCTTTGAAGGTTTTTTCTCTTCCACCACCATGTTTGTCTTCGACATCGAAATCACCATTTTTAAAACGTTGAAACCACTCCCGACACGTTCTTTCACTCAGAGCAGCATCACCGTAAGTTTCTGAGAGCATTCGATGCGCTTCAGCTGCATTTTATTCGAATTGTAACAGAAAAGTAAAACTTCCCGATGCCCTTGCAGCTTGTGCCAAGATAACTTTTTTGTAATTTTAATTATAATTAACAATAAAATTTATAATAGTAATAAACTTAAAAATTCTAATAGCACAGAAAATCGTTTGGAGCTTTATGATGAGGCTGATGGCATTGTATTAGGGTACCACTCATTACAGTTACAAATGGCAAGTGGCTTAGTGCACCTACTTATTGAATGATATAAAAGTAATTGTAGAAATTATACTATACAATGTTTGTTTTATTAGTAATTTTTGCACAGATGAGATCACAGATTACAAATCTCGAAGGGGTGCAGATTTGCACGAATTTTGAAGTTGGCAATGAGCGTTACCGCAGGTAAATGGGGCTCGTACAATCGCTTGCAGATGTGGCTTTAATGAGTGTATTGTGGGTTTTAATAGTCATGAATAAATGCTGAAAGCACTTATTGTTGTTCATATAGAATGTAGATTACTTTTTACGAACTGATATACCAATAAGCAGAAAAGAAAGATGATTTTTCTGTTAAAGTTTGGCCAAATTTTGTCTGTGGATGCTCTTAATAAAAAAATGGTTTATTTCGTTATTTTTTTCATTTAAACAATTATCAACTCTACAACGTCGATTTCTTGCAAAATGAAATAAAAAAGTAGCAAGTTCCTCTTCCATACTTTATGACCTGCCTAATGACAGATACAAAATTTTATACTTTTTTGTGACTCTAGTGCCTCAGTGTTGTATAGCGAATTCCAAATAGTGTCAAATTGATACTCAATTTGTTACTAGATACTGAATGTCGCTATTATTCTTACTAAAAAACTAGATCTTCTTGAATTTCAGCCTAACCTTCCCCAACGGATATCATCTTATCTCTGTAACAGTACGCAAAGAGTATTACTTAAAGATTTCTTCTCGCACGCAGTTGGTGTAACCACAAGGTAGCCATCTGGGTCCAATTCTGTTGTTGTTATTTATTAATTTATTTGTCTTTAGTCATAAAATATTCAAAAATTTTACTATATGCAGATAATGTAAAGCTTTTTAAATCATATACCTCAATTAGCGAAAGGTGTTATTCACATACAAACCGATTTAAATAATTTGGTAATTTGGTACAATAACAATGATATGCCTCTTAATCTTAACAAACGTAAATCCATGTCATTTTCACGTAAATATCTCCTATCACCATCTTACAGAATAGCCAAATATATTCTAGAACATGTATGTAATTTTGTTGACTTGGCTGTAACAATGAACACTAAACTTAATTTTAATCTTCATATTGATACTACTGTGTTGAGAGCTAAAGACGCTCTTGCTTTTGCAAGGCGAGGGTCTAAGGAATTTAAGAACTCTTATATTTTTTACGCCATTAGTACGACCACTATTGGAGTACGGCTCAGGGGTGTGGAATCCTAATTATAATGTCCCTTCTGATAAAATTGAGTTCGTTCAAAAACAATTTTTGCTGTTGGCTTTGCGTCATTCCCACTGGGATTATAGCCAAAATATTCCGCTTAAAACTATTTAGTCCTGCTACGATTTCTAGCCGTAGAGTAATGTTAGGGGTGATTTTTTTAGTAAAACTTCTAAACGGACTGATTTGCAGTACATTTCTTTTAGTCGAAATAAATTGTATGGTCCCTTACCAATTATTAAGATATTTAGACCATTATTTTTACATTCTAGTAAATCAAAATTTGAATTATATGAACCCTTTAGCCGTATATGTAAACAATTCAATTGTTTTTCAAACACATTTTAATTCAATTGAATTGCGTTAATAGCCTAATCGTATATTTCAGCTGATGACTTTGTTTGGCTGTAGCTGGATAGCTTCAAATTTCGACGCTTAACAAACTATTCATGACTCGGCGAATTCCGTACGCCATGCGCAATCGTTGGGCTTATTATCAATCTAGAAAGTTGTAGGTGCGACTAAGCAATTGGACCCCAAGAAATCTCCATGCATCCATCTCTAATTACACTAAAAATGTTAAAAAAAAAAAATTTCACTGGCACTGCCCTCCGAACTCTTCAATGCCATTCTGAGACTTTCTAAGCAATTCTACAAAATAATTGAATCATATCTGTTTAATAGGCGGTTAACGGTAAAAAAATCGGAATTTATCTCTGTTTACAATTGAGGTTGGTGTTCCTCAAGATAGCGTTCTTGGGTCTATATTAGAGATTAAATATACTGCACACCAGTAAACCAAAAATTTCAAACATTCACTTTCGTGTATCAAAGCCATATTATGCCGTGATAAACGCGCTAGTAAGCTTTGAAAGTGATTAGAGACTATTTACTTCTCATCGAAGAGAGACAGTATATTTTTCTGTGTGCAAATTATTTCTTGACAAACTGTATATGCAAAAAAAAAAAAAACATCAGAAATTAAGAGTAGCTGGCTTAAATTGGCTCTTAGACAATAACTTTGGGCTAAAACAAAGTACAATGTGAATACATTGTTTTTATGAAGTCAATTTGGATTTATGATTTTCAACCAGATCAAGTAATATTGAAAATTTATAGAGCTTCCAGTCTATAAGCAAAATAACGTGCGCACCCTGGTGCGTTAGTAATAATAAAATACGTGAAGACCCTAGTATCTTACTTATTAAGCATGAAATTGAAAGAAGCAGAACGAAGTACCTCAAAAAAATTGAAAAAGCATTCTATGCCATCAGCTAACGGTTTGTCATCCAGAAAATCTCGAATGCAGGAAAAGGACTCTGAGTCAACTTCCGAAGGATATTCATAATATTACCAAGAATGTAATCTGTTAGCCATTGTTCGGAGCATAATGAGTTTAGTTTGCAAAAAATTCTTATTGCAAATAGGTGTTGATTTCGACAGTCCTCTCTCGACGAACATAGCTACATAAAATAATAGATCCAAGTCGTTAATTATTCATGCTCTGCCACTAGGTGCAGAGGCATATACGATGATGACATCAGTTTAGTCGGTGGATAAAATATTCGAGAGAAAGGTTTTTGCGAATAATGCTTGGACCTTTGCGAATAAGCAACGCTGACGTTCGTTATATCGAGTTATACGTTGCCGCTAATTCAGTCCAACGGGTAAATAGTCAGCATCGTCTGGACCTTACAATCCAACTTTGAAAGTTATCGATGCAGTATTCACTGGTAAAACCCTAACTCCGATGAAAAAAGCGTGCTGTAAAGCGAGCTGGGGTTTCTTGGTATTTCTAACTGCAGCCAAAGAGTGAAGAGAAGGAACGAAGTATTGGATGAGTGCATAAGTTCGTGACCGATTTCAAGTGCAAACTAAAATTATAATTTTTTATAGAAAGCGCTTTTATTAATCAATTATGTATTCGCCATCATGCTCGGCAATCCACTCCCACCGTTCAACTAATTTAAGGATGCCTGATTCAATATATTTCTTGACTCGGCTGAAATCGCTTAGCCAATGCTTAAGCCGATTAAAAATAAAAAGGCACTTTTTTAAAGATTTTCGTTGTCAAAAAACATATGTTACTTAGCTATACTCATGTGGGATAATAAAAATGAAAGCATATATCTTTCCTATGACACAAGTTTAAGACAATTTATTCTTTTTTGATTTTACTGGCGTAGATACCGCTTACTAGATTATTGCTTAGTCAGCGACAGTGCGTCATTCATTCCTACCTTCTGCAGTTTGGGGCCAATTGGGCCGCCTCTCTTCTACTTCCACCAGCGGGTACTGCAACGTAAACTTTCAAAGCTAGAGTACTCTTAGCCATTCGAAGTATGAACTATGCCCATGTCGTCGTATATCTTGTACAGCTCATCGTTCCATCGGCGCAGACGACCATCAATCTTATGCAAAACCTTTCTCTCGAAAATTTATAATTTTGAGCATCCTCAGTGAGAGTTTTTATTACTTTTTTGCTCTCTTTAATATTGCTTAATGATTTTATCAGTGATCTAAGTTAAAACTTATTTGGGAACTAGAAATGATTACTCTAAACTTAAAAATTATGTCACAATTATAATGATTATGTTAATAAGTGAAAAATTATAATAAATTTGTGGAAAAACCATATTGATGTTTAAGAAATATGTTTCTCAACATTTCTCTTTTTTGATTTAAAGAGTCAAATATGTGAAATAATAAAAATTTAAATAATGTTTATGAATAAAAAACTGTATGCAGTCCTGCGGCTTCGAGGCGAGTAAAAAAAAAAAAAATAAAACAAAATAAAAAACAATAACAAAAATGTGTGAAAAATCCCAAAAAAAAAACTCTACAACACAACTTTGTGGGTTCGAG